AGTTTGAACCTCCAAACTTTGGTGGTTGTTATGTGCCGTTGAGTCGCTTGCAACTTGTAGCGACCCTATGCACAGTAGCTCTGAACCCTGTCCTATCCTGAGCCAATCTCACTGTCTCTGACAAACCTCCCCCCCCCCCCAGTGACTGTCAATCCATCTCATCTGGGGTCTTCCTCTCCTGCTCTGTCTCTCCATCCTTCCAAGTATGATGTCCTACTCTAAGGACTGGTCCCTCCTGGCAACATGCCCATGATATGTGAGATGGAACTTCAAAATCCTTGCTTCTAAGGAGAGCAGCTTGGTTTCATCCTCTCCAGGACAGATATGTTTGTTCTCTTGGCAGGCCATGGTATGTTCAATACTCTCCTTCAGTACCACAGCTCAAAGGCGTCAATCTTTCTTCTGTCATCCTTAGTCATTGCCCAGCTCTCTGATGCACAGCAAGTAACTGCGAAGACCATGGCTTGGATCAGGTGCACCTTAGTCTCTAGACTGACATCGTTGCTCCCCAGTACTCTGGAGAGGTCCCTGACAGCAGACTTTCACAGTGCATTTCAGCTTTTAATTTCCTGGCTCCAAGTGTACGGAGAGTGTTGATTGTGGAGCCAAGCAAACTGAAGCTGGGACTCTAAATCTCTTCTTTATCGTGATGCTGCCATTGGCCCAGTGGTGAGAATCTTTGTTTTCTTGATGTTGAGCTTCAATCCATATTGAAGACTGTCGTCCTTCACCTTTTCCAGCAAATGCATCAGGTTTTCCTGAGTTTCAGCGAGCAGAGTTGTGTGTCATCTGCATAGTTCAGGTTGTTAACCAGTCTTCCTCCAATCCTGATGCCCCTTTCTGCCTCATAAAGTCCAACCTCCTGAATGTTCTGTTCTGCATATAGATTGAAAAGGCGTGGAGGTAGGAAGCATCCCTGATGTACACCTTTTCTAACTTTGAACCATGCAGTGTTTCCTTGTGTTCTGACAACTTCCTGTTTGTTTGTGTATGTTTCGCATGGGGACAATTAAGGGTTGTTGACCAGGTAGGAGACTTAGAGCAGCTTGAGCAGTAAACGTAGTACATACAAGCTAGCATTGAGCAAGGCACACACAGACTTAATTGTGTTTACCTGTTAGTCTACAGTGACAATTTCACACCTTTGATGTGGCGGGCACAGGTGAAACTGTGCACTGCAGGTCTGTGGAAAGGTTCCACTGGGTGCTTGCTTATTGGGTAACCTTGCCCTGGCTCCCATGATGCTCCAGCTGAGAGGACGGGGGGCCTGCACAGGTGCAGCTGGCCTGAGGTGTATCTGGGGACTGCAGAATCTAGACTCGCTGGTCAGCTGGATGGCAGGGGAGAGGGTGGGGAGAGTTAGAGGGAAAGCCAAGATGGCATGTAGACTTCTGCCCAGACTGGGTGGATAAAGCTGCTACCAAGAGAGGCAAATGGGGAAGGCGTTTTAGATCTCAGGTACCAGTGAGATGGATGAAGCTGGAGGGAGTGAGCTTGTCTCGTGTGAAGAGGTGGGTGGACTGGGCTGGAGGGTTGCTGGGTGGTGGAGATGGTTAACTCTCAGTTACTAACAGAGAGAAGGATGAGGGAACTTCATCTCACCTTCTTCAGGTATGTTGTCAGAGGGGACAAGCCCTGGGACAAAGACTCCATATGGGAAAGGTGGTGGTGGTGGTGGTTAGGTGCTGTCGGGCTGAGCACATGAACTACAGATCTGAACCCCCGTCCTATCCGGCGCCATCCTCACAATTTCTGACACACTGAGGCCACGGCTGCAGTCACTGTGTCAGTCCATCTGGTTGAGGGTCTTCCTCTCTTTTGCCAGCCATTCACCTTTCCTAGCATGATGTCCCTCTCCAACGAGGAACCTCTCCTAGCAACGTGCCTGAAATATGTGAGACGAGGCTTCACCTACTTTGTGTGTGACAGGTGAAGGGGTCGTGAAAGAGAGGAAGCCCCTGAACCAGACGGATGAACGTGGAGACTGTACTCAAGGGCTCGGGCAAGGTGGAGATTGTTACAGACGGAGCAGGAGCCGCTTCAGATTCGTGGTCCGTTGACATGTTGAGTCGTAGCTGAAAAGTGCAACAACGAATGGATGGAAACACAAAGTCTCTGTAAATTTTCACTAAAGTTAATAATAAGAATTAAAATAAAATAAAAAAAACCAAACAAACCAGAAAACAACTAACCATAAGGTTGGAAGATTGGCCCCCTGCCAGGATACCATGGAAGAAAGACCTGGTTTTCGGCTTCTATGAAAACCGCTGCCAGGAAGACCCGTTGGGTCGGTTCTGCTCTGTAACACTGGGCAACCGTGAGTCCGAGTTGACTCAGTGGCTGTGAAGTTTCGGACCGGGTCAGGCTGGAGATTTCAATACGGAAGCCTTAGGCCTGTGGCTGGTGCTTACCCCCGGGAGCTGGGGGAGATCATCCAGGGATCGTGGATATAGTGAGGAGAAGGGGTCCCGAGAATGAACCCTGGGAGCAGCCAGAAGACAGAGGCTGAGCAGAGGAGGAGGAGATAGTGGAGAGGATGGGAGAACCAGTTGCATCGTTGCTGGGAAACCTCTCAGCATCATAGAACGTCGAGAACTCAGAAGGATGGAGACGTGAACCACGGAGTGAGCCGTGTGCTGACATCCACAAAACCATGTGTATTAGTCACCGACAACTGTGAGAGAAATCACCCCAAGACTGAACAACTCCAGACCACAACATCTACTCTGTCGCATTTGCCACGGGCCAGGACTGAAGCAAGAGAGGCTGAGCCAGATGTCACCACGTCAGGACTCAGCTGGGCCGAGAGAACTTGACTCTGAGGTCACTTGTGTTGGTGTTGGTACAATTCTGGGGGTTATTGGATGAAGGTGAGGTGTGAGTTCCTTGACTTGGTCATTGACTTGGATCAATGCCTACGGTGGCAGCAGCCAAGAAATCCATTAACAAGTGGCAATGGGCAAGTCTGCTTTCAAGAACCTCTTTTAAAAGGCCAAAGAGCAAGGATATCACTTTAAAGACTAAGGTGTAGCTGACCATAGTCTTTAAATATAAAGCAACCTCGCTAGCTCCTTGCCATGTGATTTCCCCTTTGTGGTTGGGTGGGACCATCAAGTCTGTTCCGGCCCATAGTGACCCTGTGTATGGCAGAAAGTAACCCTGCCCCACCTGTGCCATCCCTGCAGCTTTGAGCCCATTGTCACAGCTACTGTGTTACTCTGTCTTCTTGAAGGGGTTCCTCTTTGTAACTGCTCCACTTTTCTAAGTGTGATGTCCTTCTCCAGGGACTTGCCTTTCCTAACGACATACCCAAAATATGTGAGATGAAGTCTTACCGTCCTTGCTTCTGAAGAGCATCCTTGCTGCACGTCTGAGCCAGTTATTTGTTCTTTTGGCAGACCATGGTATCCTCAATACTCTGCCAACGTCAAAAGCAAAAGCATCAATTCTTTGGTCTTCCCCCCCCTGACTTTCACATGCAGAGGAAACAATTGCAAATACCCTGGATCAGGTGTACCTTAGTCCTCAAAGAGACACCCTTACTCTTTACTACTTGAAAGAGGTTCTTGGCCGCAGATGTGCCCACCGCCACATGTTTGGTTTCTTGCCTGCAAGTTGATTGTACATCCAAGTAACATGATGAGATGGGAGTTATTTCCCAATATTAGAGACGACAAAACTGAGGTTTGGAGAGATTAACTTCATCAGCAGGTGACGTGAATGGATGCAGGTGACCACTCTCCTGCACAGTTGGATGTCGATGGGCCTGGCCTGGCATTCTCACACGGAGGACAGGTGGGAAATCAGACCACAGCCCTCACTTGCCCACGCGGTCCACCCACGTGGCTGTGTCTCCAGGCACCTAGGCTGGTGCTCAAAGGCAAGTGCAGTCACCAAGTGGCCACCCCCACTGGCCACATGTGGGGGGCAGAGTCACAGGCACAGTCCGGTGATATGTGGCATGGCCCACAGTGTCCGCGACTAGCAGGAACCCGGTGCAGGATGTCCCATGCCTCCCCCTGATCGATGAAGCCTGGAGCCTTTTGGAGCCAGACGTCCCAAGTTCAGACCCAGCCCAGGCATCATGTGGCCTCCTGCAGCCTCTTCCTCAGCTGACCCTATGAACATGTGGAAAGAGCACACAAAGAGGAGTCACAGGGACCCCAAAGCTCCCCGAGCGGCCCTGGAAAAAAAATTACATTTCCGAGCTTCAAGTGGGTTCATCTGTTAGAGGGGATACCTCATAAAGCATTGATTCCCGATTCCCCAATCATCACAAAGGGCCCATGCTGAGAGGTGAGCTCTCTGTGGAACTAGCTCGATGGTTCCAGTCTTTGGCAGTGAGTGACCAGAGACAAGCCCAGAGGATGGTGAGAACGTGGAAGGACTTTCAGAACAAGGAGGGCTTCCTGCAAAGCCTTGGGGAAAAGCAGGACTGTGCGGAGGAGGCAGGAGGGGCTTTCCTGAAGAGAAAGCAGTGAGGGGAAAGAGGAGGGTGGGGGAAGCTCGGGGCCAGCAGCCCAAGGAGGCTGGAGGAAGGTCTGAGGAGGGAGGAGGGTGCAGTGGACAGGCCAGAAGACTGCAGGTCTGCAGTTTTATCCTGAGGGCAATGGGAAGCCATGGGCAGGGGAGTGACAGATTAGATTGTGCTTGATATTTCACACATACTATGGGGTCCTGGTGGAGGAGGAGGGATGGTTAAGGGACACTGCAACACTGAGGGACGCTGAGGCCTGGCTGGGGTGAGGGCTATGGGGATGGAGAGAACGGGATGTATTTGGAGTGCTCATCTGGCACCAACTGGGTAAGTGAGTATGGTGGTCCCAGTGGGTGTGCTGGGTCCCTGGGGCTAAGAAATACTGTGAGATGCTGAGACAGGTGTAATGGCCTCACCTGGCCAAGGTGAGCTGAGCTGGGGCCGGGGTTGAGAGAGGCTCCTGGGTGCTGGGACGCTGCCAGGAGGAAGTGACCAAGCTGGGATGTGTCCCCTTGTCTTACAGCTGTGGATCCCCCCGGCCTTCGGCTGCCGCCCGGAGTATGACAACGGGCTGGAGGAGATTGTGTTTGGCTTTGAACCTTGGATCATCGTGGTCAACCTGGCCATGCCCTTCTCCATTTTCTACCGCATGCACGCAGCTGCCTCCCTCTTTGAGGTCTACTGTAAGACCTAGATGTGTCCACGTGAAAGACTGGGAGCTGGGAGCGGCCAGGGGAGGCCCATGGAGACAGCCAGGCTGGGCAAACAGGGCCTCAGGAAGATGAGAAGGGCCACCTTTGTGTGCAAGGGGCTGCCCTGACCTTTGAAGAGGTGACTCTGTTCTTGCCTAGTGCGTTCTCCTCAGCCCCTGATTAATCTGTAAGCCAAGGGCCTCTCTTAGGATAATGTGACACTAAGGTGAGAAGGTCCGTCCAGCTTGTTTTTCATAAAAACATTTCCTCTTGGCAATATATCACAAAACTACCCATGGCCCTTTCCTGACAGTCTGCAATGTTGCTGCTGGTCACTGTCCTGGAGCTGACCCCGTGCCTTGTGGTGACCCTAAGAGGACACCATGGATCCATAGGGTCTTTGTGAACTGATTTTATAGATTGCCAGGCCTTTCTTCCTAGTCTTTGTTTCCCAGGACTATATCACTATCTCAGACAATAATTTTCTTTTAAAATAAAATTTTCATCTCAGACAATAATTTTCATAAGTGTATTTGCCAGACCTTTCTCCCTGGTCTCTATCTACATCCAACAGTCTTCTATTGTGACCCAAAGCATTTTCATTGGATTACTTTTCAGACGTGGGTTTGCCAGGCCTTTCCCTCTAGTCTCTCTCCCTCTGGAAGCTCCACTGACACATGTTTAGCATCATAGCTACAGGTGGTTGTTGTTGTTGTGTACTGTGGAGTTGGAACTCCCCCGTAGCTGACCCTCTGGCAGGCTTTCAGAGGCAGTTAGTCACATGGAAGGAGATTGTCCATCCTTCTCCTGTGGAGCAGCTGGTGGCCTTGAACCATGTGCCATTGGGATTGCAGTGCACCTTCTTGCCACTGGCTGTGCATAAAAGCATTGGCTGGAATTGAAACCAGGGTCTTCTGCATGGAAGAGGAGAGTTCTACCACTGAACCACCACTGATCCTATGCGCTGCCAACCCAAAGGCACTTGGTTCAAATCCACTAGGTGCTCTGAGGGAGAAACATGGACAAACTTCTCCCATGAGATTTACTGCATCTGCAAACCCACTGGACGGCCAGGTCTGTGCTGATTTGGACTCGATAGCACGTAGTAACAATGACAACAACAACTCCCACCCCCAGAGCTGATGAAGGTAGACATAATCATGCTTGATTCTTGTAGTTTTGGAGTATGTTTAATTTTTTAATCCAGTAATGTTTTTTGTATGGGAGGACATTTAGAAATGGACCAAAATAAAGATATTCCTTACCTGAAATTTTTGCATGCTTTTATTGTAATCATTTTGAAGTCTTTAAAAATAAGATTTACTCTTTTCTCACTATAAATCAATGTATGTTTATTATAGAAAATTTGGACATATTTGAAGAGTAGAAAACTTGAGGAGGAGGAAAAATTGCCCATGATTTCATTATTAAAGCAATACTTTTAAATATTTTGCCGTATTTCTTTGAACCATTTTGATGCAAAACAATTCTTTGTATTGCCGTTATCATACATGTTAAGGATTGTAGGACATAATACCTTAACAGTACAGATTAAAGTGGCCTCCACGTTTCTTGAACTTGTAAATATATTTTTAATGCTAGATTATATTTTATCAAGAAAATGTTCTATGATTAGATTCATTCTCTCATGTGTATGTGTAACTGTTTGCTTTATGTAAATGACTATCCAAAAGAAATAACCATGCGTTAATGGTATTTTGTTCTTTAAGAGAACAAAAAACTTGCAGGCCACTTCCGGTGTAGCCTCCAACCCTTGGCAGCTGCTGCCACTGGAACTAGTGGGCAAAGGTTAAAGGACCAAGGAATCATATTGTGATGAGAGTGAGAAGGAAGTTGTTGGTACGCTTCTAGGTTTTGATGACTCTCAGTATTGCCTTGGAAGATGTCACTGAGTTTGAGATCACATCAGAAGGAAGAAGAACTACTAAATTAGATTCTGCCCAGTGGAAATGATACAACCATGCTGGTTCCTGGAGAAGGACCTGAAGTGTGAGTGGATTTCCTTGACTGTTTTGTTTTATAAAGGCAACAAAATGGATTAAAAAAACAAACAAACAACAAAACCCCTTTCTAATCTTGAAATTCTGTAATGCTAAGTTTCCCGTTACAGGGAAATGTTTTGAGATAAATTGTAAATGCCAACGTTTATAAGTTTATTATGATGATCTTAGGAGAAAAGTATACAGTTTGCTGTTTGAAGACCAAAATAAAAATGTTTAAGTGTGTTTTGGTTTTAAATAAAAAAGAGATCCCAAACAGCTCAAGCTCAGTGCCTGCGAGTCGAGTGGGTTCTGACTCAGGGCCCCTTGTGGGTTTGTGAGGGTGTGAGTCGTCCTGGAGGAGACGCCCCAGCCCCTTCTTACAGCCACTGGCTGCCTTGTTGAGGGTCTTCTCCTCTGACCCCCATCTGTCTCAGCAGGATGTCTTGTCCCCAAGGACTAGCCCCTCTTGACCACATGCCCGAAGTGTGTGAGATGATGTTTCAGTTTGTAAAAACACAACCACAGCTGAGCGAAACACAAGAAAATGAAACACAACAATGTGAACTACACCAGGAGTCAGGATGGCTGTTCCCCTAGGAGACTTTTAGCTACGTGTAACTGAGCATTTGTGTTACTGAACACAAGGGGTTCTTTCCGTAGTCAATTGCCAGTAAAACAAATGGATTGTAGTATCCATAAGCACTTTATTACGCAGATCTGGGAGACAGCGAGTCACCTCCAAGACTGTCTCTCCGTCTGGGAGTGGTCATCAGATTTTATACTAGGGTGAGACTCTAGCTCATTTAACAATGCACTTGTGTTAGGAAAAAAAAGGTAATTTCTACATCTGGAAAGAACACACAGTTCTCTTCCTGGTAAATAGGCAGGTTAAGATACAATTTACATATGACTGGAGAGCCAGCCTCACCAGGATCTAGGATAGAGGCATTTCCTCTCCTGGTAAACAGATCAAACTACTCTACATGACTAAAGAGAGGAAACAGAGAATTTGGAGGCTAAGTAACTAGTTTTGCAGGCTGAAGAAAATTAACTATAGTTTTATGATTGATACATATATAGAGAATTCCGAACTTATTAATACCACCCAGCAAAGAAAATTCATTATCTTACAGTGCAGTGCTATTGCTAGGTTCTGTCAGAGTATTTTCTTCTTAATACAATTTTTTATTTTAATTGTGATTTTAACAAAAGTTTACAGAAAAGTTAAATTTTTATTCATTCACTGTTGCACATTTTTAGCCCCTGGTCCTCCCTTCTCCCTCCCCAGTTTACTTTTTTTTTGTTAAACATTCATTGCCACACAGTTACCTCCCTCCCCCCAACCCCCATCCTCTTTGAAATGCACCTCTTATTCTGGGCGGCTGTCATATGTACAATGCCTAATCATATATTCAACAGTTCTTTCCTTTATCTGTTCCAGTGCAATCAATGTTCATTATTTATCCCCTTTTATCCTATTCTCCTCCCAATCCCTCCTGTCAGACCTGCTTTATAACAGTGGTACTATGCAGTATTTGTCCTTTTGTGGCTGAGATATTTCCAACCCACAGCAATTCTTTGTACAGTAGAAGGTAACCCTGCTCACTCCGGTGCTGTCCTCACCATGGCCCCTGGGTCCCCACCGCCGCAGCCACTGTGAGTCCATCTCACTGAGCGTCTTCCTTTTTCACTCACTGACCTCTTACTTTACTGAATATAATGTCGTTCTTCAAGGACTGACCCTTCACAGTAACATGCATGGCACTTCATAAAAATTGAAAGCCTGTGCAACAGCCCAGGCCTGGTGGCCCAGCAGGTAAGGTGTTGTGCTGCTACCCCAAAGGCAGGTGGTTCGAATCCACCAGCTGCTCCAAGGGAGTATGGTGGGTGATATCCTGTGCAATTCCTCTGAAAATCTCTGGGAGGGTCAGCGGTGGGTCAGTCCTGACTTGATGGCAATGAGCGAGGGAGCTGAGTGTTCAGGCCTCAGGGCTGTGAAACAAGAAAGTCGGAATAATAATCAGATCCCATTTCACACCCTTCACATAGACAAGGATTGGCAAACTGGGAAAGGAAGGACTCACACACATGCAGTGGTGGGAGAGCGAATGGGAATAATCCAGCTGAGAGCCCTGGACACATCCACCTGGCCCAGAGCTGCACCCTCTTTGCTGCTGCTGTTGTTGTTAGGTGCCGTGGAGTCGAGTATGACTCACAGCAACCTTTGCACAGATCTGACCGTCCTGCCCTGTGCCGTCCTCATCCTCCCCAGATCACTCGAGCTCATCACTGCCGTCCCCGTGTCCGCCCATCTCCTTGACGGTCTTCCTTTCCGTGGCACGTTCCTCAGGGTCCAGCAAGTCCACTCTTTGGGCTGTTCTCCAGAAATAGCATCAGATATTCGAGAAGACGTGAAGACACGTTCCAGAATGTTCACTGTAGCCACGCTGTTGTTGTTGTTGTTGTTATGTGCCGTCGAGTCATTTGCGACTCATAGCGACCCTATGTAAAACAGCCCTAAACCGTGCTCTATCCTGTGCCAATCTCATTGCCTCTGACACACCCATCCCGATTACTCCAGTCACTGAATCAATCCACCTCATAGAGGGTCTTCCCCTCCTGCGCTGTCCCTCCACCCTCCCAAGCATGATGTCCCTCTCTAAAGACCTGTCTCTCCTTACAACATGTCCAAAGTATGTCAGGCGAAGCCCCAGAATCCTTGCCTCCAAGGAGCAGCCTGGTTTAACCCTCTCTAGGATGAATCTGTTTGTTTTCTTGGCAGTCCATGGTACATTCAATACTCTTCTCCAGCACCACAGCTCAAAGGCGTCAATTCTCCTTCTACCCTCCCTAGTCATTGTCCAACTCTCTGATGCATAACAAGTGATTGCAAAAACCACGGCCTGTATCAGGTGCACCTTAGCCATGCTAGTACTTAGGAAATGCTTAAAAGCGCCTAACTGGCCATCAATTAAGGATGCAAACAGG